AGATTGGCAAAATACAAAAGTCCCTTAGAAACTACCTAATCTGAATTCTTTCAATGACAAGACTTTTGATCAAACTCCTATGGAATTTTTGGCAAACCTGGACAATCACCATGGTTCCCAAGGTTCATTCTCCCATTTATTCTCTAGGAAGAAAAAAAAAATGAGTTGGTTAAATTTTTTTTTTTTTTTTTTTTTTTTTTTAGCCAGATATGGTGGTATACACCTTTAGTTCCAGCACTTGAGAGGCAGAGGCAAGTGGATCTCTGGGATCAAGGCCAGCCTGGTCTACAAAGTGAGTTCCAGGACAGCCAGAAACCCAGTCTCAAAAAAACCAAAAAATAAATTTTTTTTAGATAAAAGAAAAAAAATTAATTAGTGTCTGAAAGAGTATAAGAACAGGAGAAAGGGAATGCTGTTTTCTGGCCGAGAAGTGGCCATTGCCCTCTTGAACTCGGATTCCTGCATAAGATTGGGCCCATCCACAGCCTGTCATCAAGGGTGAGCAGGTGATCAAAAGGCTCCATGTCTCCCTGAGTGTAGAGACCCACAGAGGATTCCTAGTGAGACCTTACTCAGGGTCCAAGAATCTGGGCTTGCTTTACCCAGCAGGGCTGCATAAGGAGATGATTTGATCACGGGTGTGGTTACGAGGGGTTTGGAAGCGTCTACACTTGGCTGTGCAGTGTGCTTTGATCTAGCAAGGGGGAGGTCTTTTGCCCTGCTCCTTGGTGTTGTTATAAAAAAGCCCTTTTGAATAAATGGAAGAGGCTGTTGGGTATTGATCCAGGTCCCCCCAAAGCTATCCTGTGTTTCTGTCTCTTCTCTGCTCTCTTTCTATCTAAAAGTTTCTTATTCTTCTCTCCTCCTCATAGGATCCTTTTAAAAGGTGGAAGCTGGCCTCCCACACCTGAAGATCATGGTTGTTCATGGTTGCTGAGGGAGGGAGAGCATATAGTCTTTAGTAAGCTGCCCGTGTTCCTGTAAGTCACCCTAATTAAACTCATTGCTTCATCAACAAAAAGACAGAAAAAAGAAAATAATTCTTTTTTTTTTCTAAGACAGTTTTTTTTTTTTTTTTTTTTTTTGAGGCAGGGTTTCTCTGTGTAACTTTGGAGCCCGTCCTGGAAGTCCCTCTATAGATCAGGCTGGCATCGAACGCACAGAGATAGATCTCCTGCCTCTGCCTCTCAAGTGCTGGGGCTACAGTATGAAGCCTGACTCTGATTATTTCTTCATTTTGTTTTGTTTTGAGACAGGGTCTCTCAACATAGCCCTGAATGTCCTAGAATTCACTAGGTAGACCAGGCTGTCCTAGAATTCACAGAGATCCCACTTGCCTCTGCCTCTAGAGTGCTGAGTTTAAATGTGTGTACCACCACATCTGGCTATTCTTAAGTTCAAAAAAATTACCATGGGATTTTAATAGCTTCATACCTGTATATAATCTATTCTAGTTACTCTCTCCCAATACTCTCCTCTGATTTCCTTCCCACACCCTACCAATCCCCCCTCCTCCCTCCTATTCCTTTCCCAAGTTCACGACTTTTGGTTTTGCTCTAAGACTGACTTAGTTTAACCAGGGCCATCTGCATGGCCATTGGATTGAAAATATCCAGTGGAGCCTGAAGGAGCTAGCTATATTTTATTTATTTATTTTTTTAAGGTATTTATGAAACATTTATATAAATTAATAATACTATATAACATATATTAACAAATACACTATTGATTTCACATACCACAAATCTTCCATCTCTCTGAAGTATCACAATTTTACAGATGAAATACACATCTTTGATATTAAGAAAGTCAACATAAATCTGTTCAACAAGTCATTATCAGATATCCTTGTCTGTTTCATCCATTCTATGAATATCTAAATGATGAAAAGCAATTTCAAAGTGTAGGTAAAGAACATCAAATAGACAACAGGTGAATAGGTATAGAGAACACTTCTTTTTTTTTGTAGTCTGATTGTTCTTTATTTTATATCTAGAATCCACTTATGAGTGAGTACATACCATGACTGTCTTTCTGGGTTTGGGTTACCTCACTCAGGATGATTTTTTCTAGTTCCATCCATTTGCCTGCAAATTTCATGCTTTCATTGTTTTTCTCTGCTGAGTAGTACTCCATTGTGTATATGTACCACATTTTTTTCATCCATTCTTCTGTTGATGGGCATCTAGGTTGTTTCCAGGTTCTGGCTATTACAAATAGTGCTGCTATGAAGATAGCTGAGCATGTATCTTTATGATATGAATCAGCATTCCTTGGGTATATGCCCAAGAGTGGGATGGTTGGGTCTTGAGGTAGTTCGATTCCTAATTTTCTGAGAAACTGCCATAGTGATTTCCACAGTGGTTGTACAAGCTTACATTCCCACCAACAGTGGAGGAGTGTTCCCTTTGCTCCACATCCTCTCCAACATTGACTGTCATTGGTGTTTTTGATCTTAGCCATTCTGACAGGCGTAAGGTGGTATCTCAGAGTTGTTTTGATTTTCATTTCTCTGATGATTAAAGATGTTGAGCATTTCCTTAAATGACTTTCAGCCATTTGTGATTCGTCTTTTGTGAATTCTCTGTTTAGGAGCTAGCTATATTTTAATCTACATCTCATGCTGGCTAGGCTGGGCTGGACCCTGTAGAGATCTACCTCCCTAGGCATGAAATCCAGGTGCATTGCACTTGGAACTCTGACTCCACCGTTTGCAGGAGCTCCCTTGTCTCAAGGACACTGGCTTATACTTAACACTGTCCTGGAAATGGATGCATAAAAATTCTAGCCAGGCATAGTGCTATGTGTCTATAATCCCAGTACCCTGGAGGCAGAGGCTATAAGATTGTGAGTCCAAGTCCAGCCTGAATTACATAGTGAGAGCAGATCCTAAATCAAAACAAAGACTGGGAGTGTAGCTCAGTGGTAGAGCTCTTACCTAGCTCACACAGGCTTAGGTTCCATCCCCAGCACTATGTATGTGGGCGGGATATCTGGCTTATAGATTTGCAGTTCTGGCTATTTCTCACCTTCACCAGAAGGTCACTCAGTCCAGGGCTTTGCTTCTGTTTTTCCAAAGCACACAGCAAACCAAGCAAAGGACAGAGTACGCAGATTACTTGCAGATCACGCAATCTAAGTGTGAAGGGGGCTGTTCTGGAGGGAGATTTCATGCAGGGCGGGGAAGCCAGATGACTCACAGTTGCCTCGAAGTCGAGAACAGTCTGTGCTGTGCAAACAGCCAGCTCCAGGCCTCTGGCTTCCTGTGCTGTACTGGGTTTGCCTCTACCGTTCTGAACGCCAGGCTGCTGAGATGTGGCATGTTGTAACAGATGGGTTTGCTGATGGGACAACCGTCAGGTTCATCACTTGTGACTGTGTGTAGGGCACTGTGAGTAGTGTGATGGGTGTGTGTGCGCGCTTCTCAGCCACCCCCATACTCAGTGGCTTGATTGATGCCCACTGATGGTCAGCATCTGTGATGCTGCTTGTTTCACTTTCTATGGTTTCATTTGTTTCATTTTCAAAAGGCAATGCACATATTTCCCCCAACGTTGGTGAGTGACCCGTGCTAATGCCATATTCTTCTGTGACTCTAATAGAATAATTCTAATTGCTATTGCTTCCCTTAACATAACTTAGATGCTAGAAAACTATGGCAAAGAATGGGAGAGATCGCTTCGCAATGAAGATCCTCTAACCTAAGCCGAGTATACCAGCATGACTATAATGTAATGACTTGGGAGGTGGAGACAGAAGGATCGCTGCAAGTTAGTCTAGCCTGGGCTATGCATAATGAGACCTTGTCTCAAAAAAACTCGGCAAAAACTCAGTCAGTAAAATGCTCGCCACACAGACATAGGACCTGAGCTCAGTGGCAGAGCTCATGCTTTGGGGTTTTGTTCTTTTTAAAACTAGGCATGGCTGTGCATACTTGTAATCCCAGTGCTGAGGAGGTGGAGGCAGGAGGATTCCTGGGGCTCAGCCTACCTGGTGAACTCCAGGCCAGTGAGAAACACTGTCTCAGGGTTTTTAATTTTTATTTAATTTGTTTGTTTGTTATTTGTTTGCTTGTTTGTGTTCTAAAGAAAGGAAGGGCTTGGAGTTGGGTCTGTGGGAAGAATCTGGGAAGAACTGGCGGGAGGGGAAAACTGTGATCAGAAGAGAAGAGCTGGTATGAAAAAATTTCTTTCAATTAAAAGAAAAGGAAGCTGAGAGGTGGTGGTGACTCACACCTTTAATCCCGGCACTGAGGAGGATCTCCGTGAGTTCAAGGCCAGCCTGGTCTAGACAGTGAGTTCCAGGACAGCCAGGGCTGCACAGTAAAACCCTGTCTTAAAAAACAACAACAAAAGCAAACAAAAAGAATAACACCTGAGAAAAATACTTGAGGTTAATCCATATACATAAGCAACCACAAATCAAGATAAGCTGGGCATGGAAGCGCTCGCCTTTAACTCCAGCACTTGGGAGGTAGAGGTACGTGGATCTCTGTGAGTTATAGGCCAGCCTGCTCTACATAGTGAGTTCCAGGCAGGGCCAGGGCTACACAATGAGACCCTGTCTTAAAAAACAAACACACACACTAAAAAAAACCAAGACAAAAAGCAAAAGCTATTGTTATAGTTAGGTGGTAGAGCTTTTACACACAAGGTCTTGGTGCAATTTCCAGCAGCAAAATACCCAATACATGAAATTGACAAAGACTGTAAAGTTAGTCAACATTGGTTTGTTTTACTGAGTCTTGCAGTTTAGTCCAGGCTAGCTTGAAATTCTCAATTCTCCTGCCTCAGCCTCCTGAGTTCCAGGATTATTGGTGTATGCCACTGGGCCTGGCTGGACTTACCAACGTTTTCTTGCTGTGGAGGCTTTGCCTTCCTACGGGAGCGATCAGCTTCGGGAAAATTACTCATAAGCTCCCCCGACTCAGTTTCCCCCATGTAAGTATGCAAAGAGGTAACAATTTTATTACTGCCACAGTGAAGTGATTTAGCATGTGCCAGACATTTATTAAAGCATTCTGCTTGGGTTCCTGCAAGTGCTTAAAAGCTATTAGTAGAGCCAGATGTCTAGTTCTTCGACAGAATCCTTGCCTGGTGTGTGTGAGACCCCGCTGCCCAGTCCTGAAAAATAAAAAGTATTCATACAATCACTCCAAACTGAAAAATATTAAACAGGTATGCCTAATTTCTTCAGACAGATAAGATGTGGAGGGCTTGGCCCAATTTTTCTCCAGCTATAGAATGGATACAATTGGCATCATGCTTTTTACACAGTTAAAATACTGTCCTGCAAGCTGGCGGTGAAGGGACACACCAAGACATCCTCAGGATATTCTCCTTGAGTCTCTCTCTTCCCAGTCAGTTGTTTTTGGAAATCTGACTGGGTTCTTGTTCTCTGCTACAGGCTTAATTGTATCTCTCCCCCTGGACATTTTGAAATCCTAACCTCTGGGACTTTCAGAATGTAACCTTGCTCCAAAATGTTGCAAATGTAACTAGTTAAGATTGCTAGGCCTTGGCCGGGCGGTGGTGGCACACGCCTTTAATCCCAGCATTCGGGAGGCAGAGGCAGGCGGATCTCTGTGAGTTCGAGGCCAGCCTGGGCTACCAAGTGAGTCCCAGGAAAGGCGCAAAGCTACACAGAGAAACCCTGTCTCGAACCCCCCCCCCAAAAAAAAAAGATTGCTAGGCCTTATGGAAGCCAGGGGACTGTGAATGTAGTCACCTTGAGCTACATAGGAAAAGCCCATCTGAAATAATCCATAGTAAAACCCTTAAAACTGGGGGAGGGCTGGGTTGTGATGGCACAGGCCTTTAATCCCAGCACTCAGATGAATCTCTGTGAGTTCGAAGCCAGACTGGTCTACAGAGCAAGTTCCAGGACAGGCTCCAAAGCTACACAGAGAAATCTTGTCTGGGGGGGAGGTAGGGAAGACCTGAGGTATGTGTGTGGGGGGGAATAATAGCTCAGGTACAGAACCAACCTAGAAGCTTGAGGCCCAGGATTCATTCCCCAGCACTTAACATTAATTAATAGCTAATTAGTCAGGACCTAAATTTTGATTGTCTGAAAAAAATTTACAGGGTGCCGGATATGGTAGCACATGCCTTTATTCCTGGAATTTAGGAGGCAGAGGCAGGCAGAGCTCTGTGTTCAAGACCAGCCTGGTCTACATAGAGTACCCAGCCAGTTAGAGTTACATGGTGAGATCCTCTCCAATAAATAAATAAATAAATAAATAAATAAATAAATAAATAAATAAATATTTTAAAAAAGATAGCACACAGGGATCTTAGAAGAACTTTTGAAAAGCCTCTATTCAGGGTACAAACTGAAGGAGAGACCCAGTCAGCCCCTATGCACAGCCACAGAGCAAGGGGAATTCTGAGGCGGAGTAGATTTGGAGGAGTACTTGGAGGGAAGAAGGCAGAATGGCTTTCCACAGACTGTTTCCTTAAGGAAATCTCTTGATTCTCTCTCTGTGTGTGTGTGTGTGTGTGTGTGTGTGTGTGTGTGTGTGTGTGTGTGTGTGCGCACGCGCATGAGTATGGGAGCATGTGTGTGTACTTGTATCTGTAGAGACACAAAGTTGATAGTGGGAATCTTCTGAGATTACTCTTCCACATTATTCTTTGGAGGCAAGGTCTCCCAGTCAAATCCAAAGTTTGCCCACATGGCTAATCTCGATAGCCAACTTGCTCTGGGGATCCCCGTCTCCTCCTTCAAAGGCTGGATTTACAGGTGAGATACCATAGCTACCGGGTGGTCAAATTTATGCAGGTTCTGGGGGCCTGAACTCTGGACTTCTTGCTTTCATAGTAAACACTTCAACTACTACAGTGGTATGTAGGACAAACTGGGAAAATCCAAACCCAAGGCTAGGCTGTGTGAGACCTTCTTTTAAAAACAAAGGACTGATCTCCAAAGTATATAAAGAACTCAAGAAACGAGTGTAGCTCGAGTTTTCCTGCCTTGCCCACAGTCAGGACAAATCTTTGTCACCTGCCAGTCCCACAGCCACTCAGACCCAACCAAGTAAACACAGAGACTTATATTGCTTACAAACTGTATGGCCGTGGCAGGCTTCTTGCTAACTGTTCTT